TCACATGATCAAGGTGTCCAATAAGTAGTTAGAAGTTTGTTAGAAGTCAAAAAAGTGGTTAGGCAACTTGTTAGTTAGTTGTAACCAATTTCAACTCCTAAAGTGTGTGTTTACAGTGTAATGAGATTCCTATAAATAGGAAGTGTAAATGTAATCAGATACGTCATCAATAATATCTTCTTTCTCTTCTTCTTCTAGATCCTTCTGTCTTCACTGTTTTCTCCATGTAGAGTTGCAGAGATCCACAACAATGGAGCTTAGCTTCATGAATCTATGAAAGCTAATAAATATCATATTCAATTCACTCTCTACCTTATTCTTCTTTCAAAAAAATAAAAAATTCTTACTTGACTATATAAATGTTGTCAGGCCATTCTCTCAGGAACATCAACTAGAGGATTGGCAACCATTTTGAACTGTGATAAGTTCAAATGCCTCCTTCCGGAGAATGCAAGAGTTAAGTGTGTCGCAGACGCTAGTTTCATGGGTCAGCACACACACTCTTCTTATAATATGTGATCTCAAGAAAATGATACTCTAATTCTTCTGCTAACGATTTGACATTTAACAATTTATTTAGGAAGTCAATCTATGGTACTTCATATACTCAAGAGATGTATCAAAACATTGTTAACCTACATGTGAGTCACTTCTTCTTCTTTTGTTTTAGTAATTTTGGTATATGCTTAAGAAGTTGAATCTTTTTCTCTTTTATTCACAGGAATCGGCTAAGAATTTGCCGCTTGCTTGCACGTCCGCAATGGTACCAAGTTTGGTAATTAGAGTTTGAGCTTTTGAAATAAAAACAACTTCTCTAATTATATGCTAGTATATTAATACTAATATTTCCCTCTAATGATAATTACATTACATTTACTTAATTTTATATGTTGCAGTGCAGACTCCACTCTTCATTATCAACTCAATTTATGACTTGTGGCAGGTCAAGCGAGACTACTAAGAATTTGATTTCTTTCTTTCTTTAGCTTTTACAAATCTACAAGAAGTTGATTATTATGTACACTCTAATTTACTTCAGATTAATAATACTTTGGTTCCTCCGTACCTTGATACTCAACATGCTTGGAAGGGTTGCTTCAAGAGCATAAGTAGTTGTACATCTCGCCAACTTATAATTATCCAAGGTTAACATTTCTCTGCTTATTAACTAACGTATTCACATGTATAGTTGCTCTTCTTCTTCTCCTTTAGTTTTTCTTTAATTATTTTTTAATACAGGCTTAGGAGTGGAGTTCTCGAAGACATTTGAGGGACTACCCTTGTTTTACGAGGGGTTATTTCCTCACATCTTGCTATTCTCATGGGGGAATTCGCTTAACGCCATACTGGCTCAAGACTAGCTCTCTGACCTTATTTAATAAGGTAATGTTTATTTGTATAAAGTTTGAATACACACATTTTTGTTTTTTGGTGGTCAGTTTTGATGAGTCATAACAAATTTTAATTTGTTGTAACATTTTATGTGTATAGACAATTGTGGAAGCTGTTGTCGATTGGTATTTTGAGAGAGCAGAAATTCAATATACAAACCCTTACCCTTGTGTCAGAAATTGCACTCAATAAATTTTATATAGCTGACTGTATGTTGGAGCAAAGAAAGCTTTTATATTTTACACTTCATTAGTACTTTGAGTTAGAAGGATTTTACCTTATGGACTAGCCTTATGTTAGAGATTGCAAGTTAAGACAGCAAAATCCTATATTTTATGTTTTACACTTGGGTCTTAATAGATTTGTAATAGATAAGTTTCTAATGTATTTCAATTTAGTCTAAGTCTTGACAAGTGTGTATGAAGAATCTAATCAATTTCCTTCAGTGTACTACTATTGTTTGTTTTTTTTTCCTTTTTTTGACGTTGAATGAAAAATCTCTAATTATCCTCCTCTCTCAAAGCTCTCTATTCTCCTTTTCTCATTTTTTTTAATCAAAGAACTTTTTCCTTTTAACCTAATTGAATACTAAAAATGAAATTAATAGAATTTAGGTTGTTTGATTAAAAAAATATGACGTGAAACTTGAAGTGGAAAAGTTATTGACTATGAAAACTAAAGAAATATTGTAAGGTGACTGATTTCACAGAAAGACCACAAAGAAAAAGGTAAACGGCGATAGGCGAATGATTATTTTGAGGGGAATTTTAGGCCCTTCTTTGTTTAATTTATCATAAGAAATCTAATTATTGTAAAGACATTACCTATAAAATTATTTTGATAATTAAGAAAAATATGATGTAAGGTATATCTGTCCGACTTCCGCTGTAGGCGGAGCATCTCTTGCCTCAATAGAATAATCAAGGCACATGCAATAACAAGTTGATATGTTTTACCATTTATCACTAACGTCAAGCATATAAAGAAAAACACACAAATCAGCTCTAATTCCATTATCTGCTTCCACGTCATCATTTTGCTCATATTTTCTGTGAAAATAAATAATTATTCAATAACATTAAAGAGATTCACAAACCCAATTAATTCCACTTCAATTAGTTTTTTGAATAATTTAAGGTACTAGGTAGATAGAAATTATGCCTAAAACACATACTCCCTCCGTCCACTTTATTTGTCATGTTGCGCTTTTCGAAAGTCAATTTGACTTATTTTCAAAGTTAAATTAGATTACATTAATTCGATTTTTTAAATAAAAAATTTGGATATTCAAAAACTATACGAAAAATATTATACATTGCAATTTTTTACATATCAATATGATGAAAAAATATATCCTAAATGTTAGTCAAAATTTTTAATGTTTGACTCTAAAAATGGAAAGTATGACAATTGATAGTGGACGGAGGGAGTAGATGATTACTTCTCTCAAAATATAGTCTTTCCAATTAGGATTAGCTCAATTTTGGTTCTTAAAATGACAGTTCAAAATATTTTACATATGCCTAAATGACATTGTTGCCCTCACTAAGCCAATTGTTTCGCATTTTTCCAAAAATTTAAATGCAGTTTAGAGTAATTAACATAATACTTTACGTTGTGTTTGCATGGTAAATTGTTAAAGACTTGTGGCCGATAAAATAAGTGTCTCCATTATTGATAAGAGACATATATGATTAACAAATTTCAAGTGCAAAGAATGAAAATTGTACTCCAAATATAGAAGCATGAATATTAAGAATCAAAGAAATACACGAAAGTACGTATTGCTTACCTTTTCTTTTAATAGCACAACAATATTTGATTTATACTTAACGATTGCGAAGACAATTGTAGTATATTAATACAAGAAGTAATTGGTAGAATTTAGATATATTATTAAAATACACGTATGGATTAATTAATATTTTATCAATTTTAATTAAGAGCTGAAAAACTCAAACGTTCAAATGAATAATTGGAATATATATTGATTGTTTCTTTTGGCTATTAAAGAAGACTCTGATCAACGATCCTATTTATCTTTTTTTATTTGTTTGACAATTTTTTTCTATATTTTATTTAATTATTATCATTATTATTGTTATTATTATTAATATTAAAAAATAAATATGTCAATTAGTACTCCCTTTATTTATTTCTATTATTTATGGAAAAAACTTAAATTTTTCCAGATTTACTACACCATTATTTCTATTCTTTTTTTTTAATATAAAATTCAAATATCTAAATAATTACTACTATTCCTCCCTAAGAAGCTCTAAACTTACTATAACCTTGTTTTGAAATATATATATACACAGTAAGATCCTCACAATTCTTATCGTTGGTGCGATTTTGATTATTTAACTTTTACTATGGGTAGGTTCTAACATTTGAAGGATTTTCAAATCCATATGAAACCACCACCAAAAATCCAAGAATCTTATACAAGATTTTATATATATATATATAAAAGTGAATTTGCCCTTGGGTCGATTTTTATTTATGAAAAAAAAAATGGGTAACTTACCAAAATTTCAGTGTAGGACCTAATTAGATACACACTAGTTTGTAATATTATGAATCTTACCAAATTTTGGTGTGTCTAAATACATGTATCTCAGATATATGGGGTCAAATTTATTCCAGATACATTGTATCCAAGTGAAATCATATATATCTAGGATACATAGACAAATCTCGTTTACCTTCCTCCCATCTCTCTTTCCATTCGCATATTTCATTCGTGTATCTGGTATTCCAGATACATGCGAATCACACTAGACACATGTATATTGTGTATCTAGTGTGATTAGCATGTATCTGAGATACATAGACAAATCTTGCTCATTTCCCTCCCATCTTGCTCGTCACTCTCATATCTTGCTTGCGTATCTGGTATTGCAAATACATGTGAATCACGTCAGATACATGTATGTAATATGTATCTAGTGTGATTCACATATATCTGACTTGAAATATGGTATGAAATTACTAAATGGTGAAATAATATACAATTATTTCAAACTATATGGAGAATTAGTAAATATGATAGCAACGTTGTATAATTAGGTAGTTTCTCCCAAAAAAAAAAAAACACAAACATAAACAAAATAAAAAATGTCTGACCGGCCCAAAGAAGATCTGGCCCAAATAAAAGTAAAACACACACAAAAAAAAAAAAGGAAATCTACACGAGTCAAACTAGAGCTCAGAACCAAAAAGGTATTATGCTTTGCAAAGGAGATTGAATATGACTTCATGGTTTCTCAAATGACATATGTTGATGATTATGAATGCAGTTTGAGAAACAATATTAGATATAGCTATGCTCTGAGCCACCTCATGTATGTAGTCTTGACCGGAAGCTAAGTGTATCGACTTAGTAAATCGGTCCATGATCACCCACATAGAGTCATATCTCCTGAACGAGCATGGTAAACCAACCACAACAACTATATCAATACATTTCCACTTCCGTGTAGTCCTTCCCGCATATTGTCTTTGACCTGTTGACAATTTAGGCACTTGGATACAAATTCAGTGCATGCTCTACATCGGTGTATAATGTATGTATATACATTGCATTTGACAAGACAAACAAGTACAAAATCACTTTTATTGAGATTATCTTTACTAATTGCATAAGAATACATATATAGTATCTGTATAGGGCACCACAGCATACAATTTTATGCCATGATAACTTTTCCCTTATTGTGAAATATTTAACAAATCAATACAAGCTTCTTTCCTTCTATATTTTCTATTTTCCCTTTGGGAGTTTCTGATTTTTCATATCAATGATCTCAAAGAATAACTTCTATCAATGATTTTATATATCAATGTCGAAAGTATGGACATTTGGATCAAAAACACGGTTGTGACAGGTTTTGTCACAAGGGTAAGGGCAATCAATCTTCTGGAATGGATTTTTGTCGTAAAACCAGTCTCCGAGTGCTTTGGCTATAGTCTGCAGAAGACACATTTTTAGCACAGTCAGTGGTTCTACATGACAATACACTACGAATGGTCTATGCCAACAAGAAGTTAAACAAACATGTTAGAGTTCAGTTAATTTCTTACCTTGTTAGCTAACTTAGGAGAGTCAGCCCTGTACCATGTTTCTTGAACCTCAGTTTGACAGTGTGCAAAGCAGGAGTTGATGAAATACCCTCTCGATGAAGAAGAGCCGAGCGCATTTAATGCTCTCAGAAACAACAATCTGTAACCTGAGGAATGAGTCTTAACTGTCATAGATCATGAACAAATGAAAAATGTATCTTTTTCTATTTTGGAAATGAAAGCTTCGACGGTATATTTTATCACCTAAAATTCAAATTCAACATAGAGGTATTGAGGGATTAGAGTCCTGACCATGCATAATTTGAAGCTGCCTGGAAGAGCATTTCAGTATGTCAAGTTTGCAGTTGAGCCAGAATCCATATGGATCAGCAACACCAGGAGCCAAAATGTTCTTTATCTGAATTCAAATAATATTAAGTCAGGAAAATCAAGTAATTTCATACTGTTTTCTACATTTATTGTTATTCATGGCATATTAAGTTATCGGATGAATGTGTCAGACCCATGGGGATCAGCAAGTCCAGGAGCCAAAGTGTTCTTTATCTGAAGTCGGATAATACTAAGTCAGGATGACCAAGTAATTCCACTTTGTTTTATACATTTATCATTGGTATCCATGTAATATGAAGTTATCGGATAAACAAGGCAATCTGGTGAGATCAGAGTCTTGAAAGGATCATCTCCATATTTAGCACAGGAACTTTAAAATCTTGACCAGATTGTTGATGGTGTTTCCTATTCTGAGATCATTCATGCTATGTGACAAGTGTCAACAATGACATATCTTGTAACGTTTGTGTCCCCGAATGCATGAAATGACTTGGAGAAGATGAAAAACAGATTTCAAGTACCTTTTACCAAAAAAGCCACCATATAGTATCCAAAAGCGTGCTGCCTACTTAAATATCAAATCTTGCGGTAACAGTTTTAGGTGAGGTATTGTATCAGTTAACAAATACATCACAACAACACAGAAATGCAAAGTTCTCAAATCCAATGCAGCAAAAAAGGAGATAATTATAAAACAGTCGAGGATTGAAATATAGCAGAGAAAGGAAGTTCAAGAAGAGAAGATAGCATAATCCAACAGGAGTTGGAGTTTCCAGAAATGCTCTTTACCTGCCAGGAATCATAGGCTGCATTAACTAGGAAAAGTGGTGTCCGCACGTGTTGAGCAACATTTTGTGGGAAAAAACACTGCAAGATGTATTGGATTATTGTGTAAGATGCAACAAAGTAAAAGGCAGAAAACATATTATGAAAGCAACAGCTCTTACCAAATCCGGCTTCAATCTTGAGGTACACACTGGCGGCAGATTCTTGGCAGAACCCTGAAGCCAATATAAGATAAAATGAACATCATACTTATCATAAGTTTCTCCATTGACTTCACTATTCTTCTTTTTCTAGACACAAGTAACATTAGAAAACGGAAGTTCATAGAAAAGGAGATAAAAAGTTACAGATTTCCAACATTTTATTCTCCAAAGAGAAAAAGAAAGATTACATAACAATCTACAGGATGTTCACTTCACAAATAAGATCGAATAATGGCTGGCTAAACCACGGATCACCCACAATAGGCAGTGACACATCCAGAAGATGAAAGAAATAATGTGGAGCTAGATACAACTGAAATTATAATTGAACTCTCATGAGAAGGATGTTAAAGAAGCATACATGTAAGCTGACAACATCTCTGAAGTATTCTTCAATATGAGGCGCACCAGAAATATCTTTCCTGCAATAAAGCAGAGAATTATATAAGCAGTCAAACGAAAGTAAAATTCTTGAAAGCTTTAAGAGCACCAAGGTTTTTTTTTTTAGTAATTGGAGAACGTCATGATATTAATAAGCTATAAGAATGCTTACGCATCGATAAAATAACCAGCATCCGAAAAGCACTTTACTTTAGCACCCATTGGTAGGAGTGCTTTGAAGCTGTCACAATGTAAAATTGAAGTCAATCCGCCAGCTGAACATCCAGACAGAATAGCCTAACATTAGAACTTGATTTGTGAGCCAGTCAACAGTAAAGTGTTACGAGCGCCTAAGCATCTGAGATAGAGATAAGAAGGCAAAAGGCGGTACATTTTCAGCATTCTTCATTCCTTTTGCCAACAAATCCTCCATAACAGCAAGAAAAACCCGTGCCCCTCTGAAGTGAAGATTAGTAATCTGATATGTGTAAGGGATTTCATCAGAATCATTACAGTTTTATTATGAGATATTGAGAGAATCACGGTTTAGGACTAATCAAGAGTATCAGTATTAACTCGAAATTACCGGATTGACTGCTTGAACATCACCAGTAAAGGATGATCCATCACAATATCCAACCTTTACTCTGTTCCAGTTATAGAAGTCTACAATTTAAATAAGAAGTAACACTGTTATTCAGACAGGAAAAATGTTGTTCATGAGAACCATCAATACGAAATCAATGAAAGTTCTACCTGGATTAAACTGAGGCAGGTTGCTGAGAATCCCTGAGAAAGCGAGATTTTCTACCATCTGCTTAGATGATCCCAAGCGAGTATACTTCCGGGAAAGACAAGTGCTTATATTATTGCACCAACCTCCTCCCTGAAAATAAAAATTTTGTCATTGAATTTCAATACAAAATACATCTTGTCCATTCAACATCTCATAGACATACTTCACAAGGTTTCTGCACAAAAGCATCTTTAAATATTCTTCATAGATGTACCCCAGGCAATATGGCTGGTGAATTATAATTCTTTTATGACAAGGAATCCGCAGCTGCTACCTTTAGGATGCACACAGGGTAATTCCCTACCCCGCAAACCACACAGGAGAGATAAACCACACTAGGCAAGCTCCATGCAACGACCTTGACCGAGAAAGCATGTTGAGCGTCTCGAACCTGAGACCCCTCATTTGGGAGATCCCCTGCTCAACCAACTCAGTCACCCTTCACCCTTACAGGTTATGGCTGGTGAAATTTATAGATCATAAAGCCTCATAATCAAATTTTAAAACGTTTCGTTATATTATTCATGCATCATTTTCTCCTTCTGTATTTTACAAATCACTAGGGCAAGAACTCTACTTAGTTACCACAATATTGAAAACAAAAATCCAAATACTTTGTATTGGGATAGATATATGATCCAAAAAAATGCAACAACAATAAAGTTTTGCCAATTCTGTCTTTCGCACAGAAGTCTATCGATCAACAAGCCTAGTTATCTAATTTAAACTCTAGTCATAGAAATTGTGTATAGATAAACAAACCTCCATTTGGATTAACCAACTGTTAACCCCTGTACCAAATCCTTTGTCATGATGATATGCCGGTGGACTCCCATCCAGACATACTGCAAACACATAAATGCCATCAAACTCAACACAGTTCCACATTCATAAACTTAGCTCCCGTTTGACCATATATTTTGAAGTTAAATCTTGAAAAAATGAGTTTTTGAAGTCGCGATTTTTTAAATTTGTGCTTGGACATACATTTTACTTAGAAAAAATGAAGTTTTGTGAGTGGAAGTCCAAAAACTCGCTCACATATTTGAATATAAAATTTCAAAATCTATGGCCAAATGCTAGCTTAGTTCGAAACCATAAAAGGAAAACAATTTCTTTACCTGCTCCTTTTGCCACCCCACTGAGAACGTAAGTAATATTTACAAAGAGCCCTTCAGTTCTAAAAACAATCGACAAAGTAACAAATGAATATATCCATTGTTGCACAGTCCCATTTGCCATTCTGCAAATCATTTTATTAAAAAATAAAAAAAATACGATCAATACACAAAGTTCTAAGAACATAAAGAAGCCACAGTTGAACAGAGCAAACTGACCAATCACAAACAAATAGTTTAAAAGTATTAACACATCCCAATTACATAAAGATTACATTTTTACACCAAATAAATATGTTTTTGCCCATATTTAGCATCAAAATTGTACTTTCACAAAACCCCATGATAGAGAAAGTGACACCAATGCTACTAAACCCTTTTTATCAGAACAAAATAAAAATCAAGATTTTAAGAGAAAAAAAATACCTGAAAATGGCAATGAAGAGATTGAGAAAATCTCAAAATGGGATTTTTTGGGATGAAATTTTACACTGAATCCAGTTCAGTGTTGTTATTTTGAAGCTAAAACAAGCTCCAACAACAAATGTAGGTGTAAACTTAAACCATATGATAAAAAAAATTCCAAGAAAATATTTGATTCAATTCCTTAAACAACTTTTTGTTTTGTTTGTAAAGAAAAAGAATGGATTTTTATAGAAGTGATTTTGCAAATACAGAACCCAAGAAATAAAGAAGCAGCCGACACTTATTCGCAGAGAAATTTTAATTTTTAAAAATGATTTTTTTATTTTTTTATTTTTTTATTTTTATTTTATTGGTATTTACTGTTTTTTTTTTGTTTGCTTGGGTGGTTGTTTTCTATTGGCTGCTGTCATAAACAGACATGCTTTGTTGAGTTGTTGGTATGATTTGATATATGACCCGACCCGAATGACATAAATTACGAATCTTATCGTTTTACGCGCTCCACATTGAATATTAATCCGAATGACAGTCGAAGAGTGAGAACGAAGAGCGGCTCGGTTTCTTCATTATTTTTATTAGAGTTCAATTAATTTAATTATAGTTATGTAGGATTTATTCATGAGATGCATTTGTTCAGATATATCGTAATGAAAGGAAAATAAGAGTTTGTCGCTAGATATTTCATCAAATAGTATCGTCCAGTTTCTATAGAATCTATCGTTATAATATCTCTAGAGGGGGGATAAGGCTAAGTAGAGCAAAATAGATGCTATGGGTAGAATTCTTTTTTCTTTCTGAATTTAGTTCACATCTTAGATCTATAAATTGACTCATCTAGCTTATTTATATCCAACTATATGATGGAAGTCTCCTCGGTCAATCGTCACTCGATAGCTCAAAGTTGACCATTATAACCCGCGTACTTGCCTGCTCATCTTTCACCAGTTTATTTGTACAGCTACAATAATCTCTTCCCTTATAAAAGAATATCAAGGATTTTTTTTATACCCAAAACTTAATATCAAAATTTCTAATTATGAAAAAATTAGATCGACTGTACTATTTCCTTTGGTGGTCAGGTCAACTTTTAAATTTTTTGTGCGTAATTATTCTTAAGCAATTTTGTCTAAAACAATCTAACTTTGAAATAGCCCTTCCTAAGTATATATATATATATATATATATATATATAAGGAACCATATAAAATAGTTTAGATGTGTAATTGCAAATTCGAAACAAGTTAAAGGGAATACATAATTTTTTTTCTAATTTTTGGTACCCTTACACTTGTAAAACATGCATAAAGGATCTTAAATACTTTGGGTTAGAGTTTTAGACGTAACTAAGCTCTCAACTTCTTTTGTTCTCTTGTTTGTAGCATTCTACAAATTTGGATCTTCTATCCATATTGAAACAAAAAGAGTTACGTTAAGTTAGTTGAGAATGTTGGCGACTTCTTGTTAAATCTTTTGCCGTGTTGCACCCATCCTCTTGGGTATAAAACCCTTGATTCCCTATCACTTGTGAATATCACATGTGACGTAAGTTTTGAACGTGTGAGGGGTATTGTTGAATGCTATAACGATCACTAAAGGAATTAGTGGTTCTTTTTATATGTGGTCTTCGTCAATCCTCTTATTATTAGCTAGTTTTTGGGTTAAGACGATGTTAAGTTAGGTCGAAGGTCTATTCTCTTTTACATGATATTTTAGGACTTGTCCTAATTCTTGGTTTATCAATGTTTAATGTTTGATGTAAAGTCTCACATAGTCTATTAAATTGGTCAGTTCTCTTCTTATGGACTATATTTTGAAGGTTGAGTTAAGTGCAATATTCATTTCTTTACAAAACCAAAGATACTTTTCAAGCAAATGCAAATGAATTCTCACATCAGTTATTAAAAGAATGTAGACTCGCAAGAGTCTCAATGATCGATCTTCTGCTCCTCATGAGAAACGAAATACTAAAGATACGTACGTGTACATGTTAAATTAAACATAATTTGAGTAACTAATTAAGCCGCATTATTGGGCTTAAGAAATTAAAATGGGATTACATGTATAATTTTTATCATAGCTAGTACATACTTAAGCCAAATGTTCATAATTCAAATACACCACAAATTTTACTAGTTATAGTTTCACTTGTACCTTAGTACTCCACTAGATAATGCATCTCCACCCTCTCAAGAAAAAGGTAAATTCTGTCTATTTGTACCTTAAAAGTTATTTGTTCTCTTACATCATGCTATGTTATTTGTCCCATAAACTTTTGTCTCAAAAATTGCTTTTGGTAATTGGCACTCTGTAAATTGGGATACTCGTTTATTAGACACTTTTTCTAATTTTAAATATTAGGCTGAGGCATAACTTGCATTTCCAAAGTTAACTCAAAAGGCGGAGAATTGTTTGGGAGAATGCAGATCATTCATCTCATTAACTATTGATGTAGAAATTTTCATTCTTCACCGATAAATTACTTCTAATCATAAGTATGAAGAAAATACTTTTCACTGAGACAAAATGTGAAAATACAAGGAAACAATCTATATCACTTCCAATTCTCTTTCACAAATGATTGAACAATAACTTAAATATTTTCGTCCACACAAAAAATACAACTTATAACACTATAACAAATAGAGAATTTACTGGCAATTAATTAACAGGAATAATATTATTGCCGCTACATTATATTTAGCGAAAATAATAAATATAATATTTATAACCAATATTTTATGTAAATGTCGTTTAGTCTTTAACAATTTTAAATACAATAATATTAACTCAATTATTACTTCTAATTTATTTTCACCAACAACTAGCAATAATTTAAATATTTCGTCCACACAAAATGCACCCAAATATCACTTATAATTTTCTTTCACAACCGACTAGCAATAGTTTGTTGTTTTTCATTCAAATTAGTAGACCAGACATTATTATATATACATAAATGCATTCAATTGTTTTATATTGTTGGGGTTGTGAAATAAAATAGTTTGTTAACCGTATTAAAATGTAAAATATGTATATGAAATAGTAATATTTAATCCATATATACAATATATTGTCGAGAAGAAAATATGTGAACACGAGGATGACGGTGATTAATTAAGGCAAAGCATCAATACACTTGAGAATTAAGAGGGCAGCTGTCACTCACCTACTGGATACTTAAAAGGTAGGCCCCTTCTGGTGCATTCACTTTTCGGCGCGTAAATACAATCGAAAAATAAAATGATAACAGTGGAGAGTATTTCGAATATAATTTCTCTATATTTATAAATAGGAATGAAAATTTGTACTATATATTTTACTCCTCACTTGTCGAATTACATTAAATATGCTGTTGTTATTATTATTTTAAAATTTTAGAATATATTTGTTTTCAAATTAAATGACAATTAAAATGAAACGGAGTAGAGTACTAATCTATATTTTTTTTCCTTTTGAGGATTCCTTTGCTCACTTTTACCCAACCATAAAGACAATTCCTTTGTTTTATTTAATTTTCAATAATTTATTAATGTTTTGAAAACGGGTGGGTCGGGCACGTGCCCTAGGTGTTTGGTTGTCTCGCTTTGATAGAGCATTTGTCATTTGTAAATTGCATGTGAAAACAAATGATTACTTAAAAGGCCTTTTTCCTCTCCCAAGAATTGCTACAAAGTTTTCGAATTCCAATGCCCTAAGTTATGAATCAAATTTCATTTTTATAATATCACATCTTTTTTTTAAAAAATGTATTCGACAGACATTCGTATTTAAGTTTGATAATTTAAATTTATATCACATAAAGCTTCATTGGAGGGGAATTGCTTCCTATCAAGTATGTTTTAATATCCAAGATTTGATCCCAAAACTTCTAACTAAGAAAATAATTTTATCCACTGCACCACATCATTCCACATCATTTGATATTGGTGTAATATACCAAGAATACAATAAATTACAGTTGAAATAAAATGAACAAACAAATCTTTAAGCTAAGGCGCAGATATCTCATTCTCTTTAAGGAGATTCAATCTCACTACGACATAATCTACATCAATCCAGCAGTATATTTCTTGATTTGTCCCCTCCATGACACAACATCCCAATAATATCGTACAACTCAAACAACTCTGAATTAGTTGAAGAGTCCAAAGCTCCACAAAAAAACACATTTCTTCAATATATAAATATTCTTTTTATATAATAAATAGAATTGAAAGCTTAGAATATTTTGCTTTATCCTAACTCTCATGACAACTATCGGAACAAAAAATATATTATGAAAACCTCGGGCTTTCTTGATGAATTTATTATTCATGTATCTGTCAGTGTGCATAAACTAAGTTTAGGTTCTCTTCATTCTATGAAGGATGTCAGACTCTTATATTTTTTTTTGAAGGATATATGTTAATAAAATATAGTAGGTCACATACTATGGATTTTCCCGCGTATAAAAATTAGTAACACATGGATGCTAGGTTCAGACTCCTGCTTAAAAAATAATTTCAGGTATGTGCTCCATGTAGTTTATTATTTATTATTAAATACTTTATTTGTCCAAAATAATTATTTTTCCGTCTCAATTTATATGGTATTTATCGCTTCCCGTGAGTTAAACAATTTAGTTTTGATTGTGAATTCAAGCCTTAAATATTATTTTTTTTGAAATAAAATTTATATATTCGAAAACTGTATAAAAAGTATTATAAATCAAAATAAATGACAATTTAGAATATTTAAAAGACATAAAAAAATTTATTGTCAAAGATAAACTTGTTTAAACTCTTGAAATTAAATTCAAAAAATGTCACATAAATTGAGACAAATCGAAAGTAATATTTAGGTTTGTGTATATAGATTAAGGAATTCACTTACTTCTAGAAATTAAGACGATTATAACTAAAATACCCTTAGTTATTGATTTTTTTCCTTTTTAGATTGACATAATTATCATTGAACATTAGAAATACGTGGAGGGCAATTTTTTATAAAAAAAAATAAGTACTTTTTTTTATTTTGTGAAACATTAATTATTTTAGGTCAACTTGTATTTTTTAAAGACTAAAACATCAATTATTTTGAAGGGTAATATTGAGTAAATTTCATATAATATCACTTGATTTTACCTGCTATAACAGTAAAATCACAAAATTATATTTTTATTTTAAAATAAGTAAACTATGTATGAATCTCAGTAAATATAAATGACCAAAAAGTGTGTTCCCTCACTATATCAGTGGCTTGTCACTTCGTAAATTTTATATTGGAAATTAAATTATTTTT